ATTCAGGATCCCCATCCACAAAAAAGCTGGAAAGAGATTTACTTACAACCTTACGCCTCTTCAGATTAATGACCATGAGCAAACCTGCAGTGGCTCAGGTGAAAAGAACTCTGTGTTTTCACAATCTTAGGTTATCCTAGTTGACTGAAATTTGCTACCTGGGCAGGTGCAGGATGAACATGTATTGACTGCCCTAATTTTAGACAAAAAGCTATCAGGGCTGGGCGCAATGAATGGCTCATGCCTGTAATCCCAGCACTGTGGGAGCCCGAGGTGGGTGGATCACGAAGTCAGTAGTTCGGGACCAGCCTGACCAACATGGTGAAGCCCAATCTTTACTAAAAATACAAAAATTAGCTGGGTGTGGTGATGCATGCCTATAATCCCAGCTACTTGGGAGGCTGAGGCAGGAGAATCACTTGAACCCGGGAAGAGGAGATTGCAGTGAGCTGAGATCGTGCCACTGCACTGCAGCCTGGGCAACAGAGCAGACTCCATCTAAAAAAAAAAAAAAGAAAGAAAGATAGAAAGAAAAACACGCTATCAGGAATGTGGATCTTTCTTTCATCCACCTCATTTTTTTTTTTTTTTTTTTTTTTTTTTTTTTTTTTTTTGAGACAGAGTATCGCTCTTGTTACCCAGGCTGGAGTGCAATGGCGCAATCTCGGCTCACCGCAATCTCCGCCTCCTGGGCAAGCAATTCTCCTGCCTCAGCCTCCTGAGTAGCTGGGACTACAGGCACGCACCACCATGCCCAGCTAATTTTTTGTATTTTTAGTAGAGACGGGGTTTCACCACATTGACCAGGATGGCCTCGATCTCTCGACCTCGTGATTCACCCGCCTCGGCCTCCCAAAGTGCTGGGATTACAGGCTTGAGCCACCGCACCCGGCTCTTTTTTTTTTTTTTTTTTTTTTTTTGAGACATAGTTTCGCTCTTGTTACCCAGGCTGGAGTGCAATGGCGCGATCTCGGCTCACCGCAACCTCCGCCTCCTGGGTTCAGGCAATTCTCCTGCCTCAGCCTCCCGAGTAGCTGGGATTACAGGCACGTGCCACCATGCCCAGCTAATTTTTTTTTTTTTTTTTTTTTTAAAGATAGGGTCTTGTTCTGCAACCCAGGCTGGAGTGCAGTGGTGTGATCATGGATCACTGCAGCCTCGACCTCCTAGGTGCAAATGATCCTCCACCTCAGCCTCCTGAGTAACTGGGACTATAGCCACATATCACCACACCCAGCTAATTTTCAATTTTTTTGTAGAGATAGGGTCTCACTATGTTACCCAGGCTGCAGCTCACTTTTGATGAGATTGTGCAGAAAGCTTTAGCCTGGTACATAGATTCTTTTTGGCTAACTCGGGCATCTAACAAGTCTTGCTTCTTTCCTCTGTGGAAACAAATCAACTTAAGTGCCCATTTAGGAATGAACTGTTCCTACAGACTAGGTTCAATCCAGGTGTCTACTCTGACAGCTTAAATGGAACAGAAATCAGTCCTTAGAAAACTGTTATAAAGCCTCATTCTCTCCGGGCATGGTGACTCACGCATGTAATCCTAGCATTTTGGGAGATTGAGGCAGGCAGATCATTTGAGGTCAGGAGTTCGAGACTAGTCTGGCCAACATGGTAAAACCCCATCTCTATTAAAAATACAAAAATTAGCTGGGCGTGGTGGTTCATGCCTGTAGCCCCAGCTAATTGGGGGCTGAGACAGGAGAATTACTTGAACCCAGGAGGTGGAGGTTGCAGTGAGCCAATATTGTGCCATTGCACTCCAGCCAGAGTGAGACTCTGTCTAAAAAAAAAAAAAAAAAAAAAAAAAAAAAAAAAAAAAGGCCAGGCACAGTGGCTCAAGCCTGTAATCCCAGCACTTTGGGAGGCCGAGGCGGGTGGATCACGAGGTCAAGAGATCGAGACCATCCTGGTCAACATGGTGAAACCCCGTCTCTACTAAAAATACAAAAAATTAGCTGGGCATGGTGGTGCGTGCCTGTAATCCCAGCTACTCAAGAGGCTGAGGCAGGAGAATTGCCTGAACCCAGGAGGCGGAGGTTGCGGTGAGCCGAGATCGTGCCATTGCACTCCAGCCTGGGCGATACTCTGTCTAAAAAAAAAAAAAATTCATTACTTATTTTTTCAAAAATTATATCAAAATGGTTCAGTTAAAGACACTTAGTCATTTGGATTATAAATTTAGTCATTTCCTTCTACCCCTGCCCCCAAAATTAGTGAGATCCTTGGGTTAGCACTCCAGAGACCATTCTAGCCTATATATGTCCTAGGCCATTTCTCCTGCCAGGTGAAATAAAAATGAATGCAGCTGCTTCTTTGAAAAAGTCTGTCTTCAGGGGCAAATCTCATCAGCCTACCTAGACCTTAACTCAGGGTCTGGGAAAGCTACAGCATGAGACATGGGATGGCAGAGAGATAGTGGTTTGTCGCCCTCTGCAGGCTGCACTCAGTGAGCTTCGATTAGGTTTGAGAAAAAAGGGATGCTCCATAAACAAGTTAATGCCAAGATAAGCTGGGGGTGGGATGCAGGAAATGCTTGTGACCATCAGCCTATCATTCAAAATACCATAGCACTTAGGACATGGAAAGATAACCACTATATATTGTTAAGTGAAAATAGGATGTAATAAAACACTAAGCACAGCTTGATTCAATTTTCAGAAAAACAGATTTAGTCATACCAGAATGTTAAGCTTCAGCTCTCTCAGTGCTGAGATTATGGGTAATTTATATTATCCTCTTACATGTACCGCTTAACTTTCTACAATAAATATATATTATTCTAGTCATAGGAAACTAGTTTAAAAGTGTTTTTGTTGTTGTTGTTGTTTTGTTTTGTTTTGGAGACAGTTGTGCTCTGCTGCCCATGCGGGAGTGCAGTGGCACAACCACCACTCACTGCAGCCTTGACCTCTTGGGCTTAAGCAATCCTCTCACCTCAGGCTTCTGAGTAGCTGGGACTAAAGGTATGTGCCACCACACCTGGCTAATTTTTTATTTTCGTAGAGACAGGAGTCTTGCTATGTTGCCAGGGTTGGTTTTGAACTCCTGGGCTCAAGCAATCCTCCTGCCTCAAACTCCCAAAGTGCTGAGAGTATAGGCATGAGCCACCAGGCCAAGACAGTATCTTTTATTTTATTTTATTTTAATATTTATTTTATTTTTTGAGGCAAGGTCTCATTCTGCTGTCCAGGCTAGAGTGCAGTGGCGAGACCATGGCTTACTGCAGCCTCGAATTCCTGGGCTCAAGCAGTCCTTCCATCAGCCTCCCAAGTAATTGGAACTATAGGCACATGCCACCATGCTGACTAATTTTTTCTATTTTTTTGTAGAGATGGGGGTCTCGCCATGTTGTCTAGACTGGTCTTGAACTCCTGGGATCAAGCAATTCTCTCGCTTCAACCTTAAAAGTATCTTTTATTTTTATTTATTATTGTTTTGAGTCAGGATCTTGCTATGTTACCCAGGCTGCAGTGCAGTGGCACAATCATGGCTCACTGTAGCCTGGACCACCTAAGTTCAAGTGATCCTCCCGCATCCCCTCCCAAGTAGTTAGGACCACAGGTTTGTGCCACTATGGCTAGAAAATTTTTTTGTATTTCTTTCTTTTTTTTTCTTTTTTTTTTTTTGAGACAGAGTTTTGCTCTGTCACCCAGGCTGGAGTGCAATGTCGCCATCTCGGCTCACTGCAACCTCCACCTCCTCCTGGGTACAAGCAATTCTCCTGCCTCAGCCTCTCCATCAGCTGGGATTACAGGCACCCACCACCATGCCTGGCTGATTTTTTTTGTATTTTCAGTAGAGATGGGGCTTCGCCACGTTGGTCTGGCTGGTCTCGAACACCAGACCTTAGTGTCAAGGAAACAAAGGCTTAGGGCCGGCATGGTGGCTCACGGCTATAATCCCAGCACTTTGGGAGGCCAAGGAGGGCAGATCACTTGAGGTCAGGGAGTTTGAGACCAGCCTGACCAACATGGTGAAACCCCATCTCTACCAAAAATACAAGAAATTAGCCAGGCATGGTGGCAGGCGCTGGTAATCCCAGCTATTCAGAAGGCTGAGGCAGAAGAATCTCTTGCACCTCTGAGGCAGAGATTGCAGTGAGCCAAGATCGTGTCACTGCACTCCAGACTGGGCAACAGAGCAAGACTCCATCTCAAAAAAAGCGCATATTTTTAAACGTGGTGGTGCCAGTAACATTCTTTACCTTGATCTGGATGCTGTATGTCTTCATCAAGTTGTCCACTTATGATATGTGCATTTCTCTGTGTATATAGTATACTTCAATTAAGATAGATTTTAGCTGAGCACGGTGGCTCAAGCCTGTAATCCCAGCACTTTGGGAGGCCGAGGTGGGTGGATCACGAGGTCAAGAGATCGAGACCATCCTGGTCAACATGGTGAAACCCTGTCTCAACTAAAAATACAAAAAACTAGCTGGGCATGGTGGCACATGCCTGTAATCTCAGCTACTCAGGAGGCTGAGGCAGGAGAATTGCCTGAGCCCGGGAGGCGGAGGTTGCGGTGAGCCGAGATCGCGCCATTGCACTCCAGCCTGGGCAACAAGAGCGAAACTCCGTCTCAAAAAAAAAAAAAAAGAAAAGAAAAAAAAAAAAAAAAGATGGGCTAGGTGTGGTGGCTCATGCCTGTAATCTCAGCACTTTGGGAGGCCTAGGTGGGTGGATCACCTGAGGTAGGGAGTTCGAGACCAGCCTGGCCAACATGGTGAAACCTGTCTCTACTAAAAATACAAAATTAGCCAGTATGGTGGCACATGCCTGTAGTCCCAGCTACTTGGGAGGCTGACACAGGAGAATCGCTTGAACCTGGGAGGCAGAGTCTGTAGTAAGCTGAGATGCAGCCACTACACTCTAGCCTGGGCAAGACAGAGCAAGACTGTCTCAAAAAAAAAAAAAAGGGCTGGGCGCACTGGCTCACGCTTGTAATCCCAGCACTCTGGGAGGCCAACGTGGGCGGATCACAAGGTCAAGAAATTGAGACCGGCAATATGCGTGATTGGGGAATTCATGTGGAGGTCAGAGTGGAAGCAGGTGTGAGAGGGTCCAGCAGAAGAAAACATGGCTGCCAAAGTGTTTGAGTCCATCGGCAAGTTTGGCCTGGCCTTAGCTGTTGCAGGAGGCGTGGTGAACTCAGCCTTATGTAATGTGGATGCTGGGCACAGAGCTGTCACCTTTGACCGATTCCGTGGAGTACAGGACATTGTGGTAGGGGAAGGGACTCACTTTCTCACCCATGGGTACAGAAACCTGTTATCTTTGACTGCCGTTCTCGGCCACGTGATGTGCCAGTCATCACTGGTAGCAAAGATTTACAGAATGTCAACATCACACTGCACATCCTCTTCCGGCCCATTGCTAGCCAGCTGCCTCACATCTTCACCAGCATCGGAGAGGACTATAATGAGCGTGTGCTGCTGTCCATCACGACCAAGATCCTCAAGTCAGTGGTGGCTGGCTTTGATGCTGGAGAACTAATCACCCAGAGAGAGCTGGTCTCCAGGCAGGTGAGCGACGACCTTACAGAGAGAGCAGCCACCTTTGGGCTCATCCTGGACGATGTGTCCTTGACACATCTGACCTTCGGGAAGGAGTTCACAGAAGCGGTGGAAGCCAAACAGGTGGCTCAGCAGGAAGCAGAGAGGGCCAGATTTGTAGTGGAAAAGGCTGAGCAGCAGAAAAAGGTGGCTATCATCTCTGCTGAGGGCGACTCCAAGGCAGCTGAGCTGATTGCCAACTCACCGGCCACCACAGGGGACGGCCTGATCGAGCTGCGAAAGCTGGAAGCCTCGGAGGACATACCAGCTGTCACGCTCTCGGAACATCACCTACCTGCCGGTGGGGCAGTCCGTGCTCCTCCAGCTGCCCCAGTGAAGGCCCACCCTACCTGCACCTCCACAGGCCGACTGGGCCACAGCCCCAATGAGCCTTGACACCGCCTTCCTTCTGCCCCCACCCCAGAAATCACTGTGAAATTTCATGATTGGTTTAAAGTGAAGGAAATAAAGGTAAAATCACTTCAGATCTCTAAAAAAAAAAAAAAAAAATTGAGACCATCCTGTCCAACATGGTGAAACCCCGTCTCTACTAAAGAAACAAAAATTAGCTGGGTGTGGTGGGCTCTGTCTGTAGTCCTAGCTACTTGCTGACGCAGGAGAATTGCTTGAACCCAGGAAGTAGCGGTTGCAGTGAGCCAAGGCCATGCCATTGCACACCAGCCTGGGCAACAAAGCAAGACTCCATCTAAAAAAAAAAAAAAAAAAAAAAAAAAAAATGAAGTTTGGACAGAAACTCTCATTCATTGGTGGTGAGGATGCAGAATGGTACAGCCACATATGGAAGACAGTTTGACGGTATGTTACAAAACGAAACATACTTTCACTATAAGATCCAATAATTGGAGGCTCCTTACTATTTATCCATGAGTCTATAGAAACCTGAACATGGATATTTACAGCACCTTTATTCATAATTGCCAAAACTTGGAAGCAAACAAGATGTCCTTCAGTAGGTGAATGGGTAAATCCTGTGTGGCTGTGTAGGAGCAGGGCATATGAGAACTCTGTTGTAACATCTGCTTGATTTCACTGTCAAACTAAAAACTGCTCCAGGCTGGGCACGGTGGCTTGCATCTGTAATCCCAGCACTTTGGGAGGCCGAGGTAGGTGGGTCACTTAAAGTTAGGAGTTCAAGACCAGCCTAGCCAACATGGTAAAGCCCTGTCTCTGCTAAAAATACAAAACTAGCCAGATATGGTGGTACATGTCTGTAATCCCAGCTACTCAAGAGGCTGAGGCAGGAGAATCGATTGAACCTAGGAGGAAGAGTTTGAAGTGGGCCGAGATTTCACCATTGCACTCCAGGCTGGGAGACGGAGCAAAACTCCATCTCAAAAAAGAAAAAAGAGATAATCCAGGGAAATCCTAAACTGAGGGAATATATTTGATGATGTTATGGAATTATTTTTGTTTTTTTTTCAACAATGATTTTTGGCAGTGATAGTTTAAATTTTTTTAATGTGATTATAATATTGTAATTAAAAAGAGATACATATTAAAGTATCTATAAATGGAATAAAATAATGTTTGGTATTTGCTTTAAAATCTAGTGGCAGGAGTGTGAGAAGTAGGGGGGATAGAGATGAGACAATCATCCATGTGCTATTACTAAAGCCTGGTGATGGGGACACAGGGATATTTACATATACAAAAACAGATAGAAAAATAGAATAGTACATTTCCTGTACACTATTGTCTCTTGTCCCGACCTGCAGGACAACAACAGGGGCCCGAAGGGAGGGAGTGGGGATGGATGGGCAGGAGACGCGAGAAATGGAGACAAGACAGGAGTCTGATCAAGTCTCGTTTATTGTTGCTGAGCTCACAGCTTAAATAGACCAGGCAGGGAGGCAGGGCAAAGGAAGCTTGCAGTTGGAAAATTCCGGCCTGGTGTGCCTCGTGCCGCTACCAGCCCCGTGACGCCTCGTGCCGTCCACGGGCTGGACCTGAATCATCAGGACTTGAGCCTTCCACAAGCGGCACCTGGGCTCTCTTGGCCCCAGAATTTGGCCTGTGCTCACAGCTTCCCACAAGCGGCACCTGGGCTCTCTTGGCCCCAGGATTTGGCCTGTGCCGCTCCCCACAGTCTCTATTTTTGTATATGTTTGAAATGTGCTAAAATTGAGAGGTAGAACAATTTTTCCCCGATTTTTCTTCATTTTTCGTACTTCCTAATACTTTAACCTATTTTATCCCTATTTTGTATTTTTTTTTTTTCGAGACAGGGTCTCACTCTGTAGCCCAGGCTGGAGTACAGTGGCACAATCCAGGCTCACTGCAACCTCTGCCTCCCAAGATCAAGCAGTTCTCTCACTTCAGCCACCCACTTCAGCTGGGATTACAGGCTTGTGCCACCACTGTCCCCGGCTAATTTTTGTATTTTTAGTGGAGACAGGGTTTTGTTATGTTGGCCAGTCAGGTCTCAAGCTCCTGGCCTCAAGTGATCTGCCCACCACAGCCTCCCAAAGTGGTGGCATTACAGGCACCATGCCCAACCTCTATGTTGTATTTCTGTTAAAAATGTTTATCCAGGGGCCGGGCGCGGTGGCTCAAGCCTGTAATCCCAGCACTTTGGGAGGCCGAGGCGGGTGGATCACGAGGTCAATAGATTGAGACCATCCTGGTCAACATGGTGAAACCCCGCCTCTACTACAAATACAAAAAATATTAGCTGGGCATGGTGGCGCGTGCCTGTAATCCCAGCTACTCAGGAGGCTGAGGCAGGAGAATTGCATGAACCCAGAAGGCGGAGGTTGTGGTGAGCCGAGATTGCGCTATTGCACTCCAGCCTGGGTAACAAGAGCGAAACTCTGTCTCAAAAAAAAAAAAAAAAAAAAAATGTTTATCCAGAATGTAATAATAGGAAAACAGACAAATACAAACACAATCTGCAAAACAATTCACCTGGATTCTTCAGAATGCTCTGAAAGACAAAGTCTGTGGAACTGTCCTAGATTAAGAGCAGCTAAAGAGACGTGATAACCAAATGTAGTATCTGAACCAAGATTAGATCCTGAATCATGAGCAAACTTACCAAGGAAATTATTGGGACTACTGGGACATTTGAATATGGGCTGAATATTACATACAAATGTTTTATCAGCCGGGCACGGTGGCTCACACCTGTAATCCCAGCACTTTGGGAGGCCAAGGCAAGTGGATCACAAGATCAGGAGATCGAGACCAGCCTGGCCAGTATGATGAAACCCCACCTCTACTAAAAATACAAAAATTAGCCAGGTGTGGTGGCATGTGCCTGTAGTCCCATCTACTCGGGAAACTGAGGCAGAAGAATCACTTGAACCCGGAAGGCCAAGGTTGCAGTGAGCCGAGATTGTGCCATTGCACTCCAGCCTTGGGAAACGGAGCAAGACTCTGCCTTAAAAAAAAAAAAAAAAAAAAGTTTTGCCTGGGTATGGTAGCTCATGCCTGTAATCTTAGCACTTTGAGAGGCTAAGGCGGGCAGATGGCTTGAGCTCAGGAGTTCAAGACCAGCCTGGGTGACAAAGTGAGACCTGTCTCTATAAAAAATACAAAAAATTAGCTGGGCATGGTGGTGGTGCACACCTATAGTTCCAGCTACTTGGGATACAGAGGTGGAAGGATGGCTTGTACGTGGGAGGCAGAAGTTGCAATGAGCCACGGTCAGGCCATTGCACTTCAGCCTGGGTGACAGAGGCAGATCCTGTCTCAAAAATAATTTTAGTGATTCCTTCAGCAGCACATATACTTAAATTGGAACAATATGGAGAAAATTAGCATGACCCCTGTGCAAGGATGACACAAAAATTCATGAAGCATTTCATATAAAGCCAAAAATATATTTAAAAAATGAGTTTTAATTAAGAACAGTCACACATTAAGATACCTAGAACCTTCTATATTTTGTCAGTGCACCCTACTCTGTCGAATGGGAACTGGAATCCATTATCTGAGAAGGCATTTACCTTTAGCAGCAAGATTCAAGTCAAAGTCCCTGTTCCACATTCTGGAACATCAGGCTGTAGTCAGTGTGGGTCTATCAAAGGCAGCAACTCTCCACAACGAGAATTCAGTTTCAGACATGCCAAGTCATCTGACCGTGTGGGCCCAATGTTCAGTATTGCAATTGGCAGCTTCTTCTCCTGGGCAGTGAGGATAAACCTGTAACCAGAGTACACCTGCATGGGAAAAGACACACATAAGAATGTATAGGTTCTCCAGATATAGAAAAAGTTAAACCAGCCAGGCACGGTGGCTCACGCCTGTAATCCCAGCAGTTTGCGAAGCCAAAGCAGGCAGATCATGAGGTCAGGAGTTTGATACCAGCCTGGCCATGATGGTAAAACCCTGTCTCTACTAAAAATACAAAAATTAGCCAGGCGTGGTGCTAGGCGCCTGTAATCCCAGCTACTTGGGAGGCTGAAGCAAGAGAATTGCTTGAACCTGGGAGGCGGAGGTTGCAGTGAGCTGAGATGGCACCATTGCACTCCAGCCTGGTGACAAAGCAAGACTCTGTCTCAAAAAGGCCGGGTGCGGTGGCTCACGCCTGTAATCCCAGCACTTTGGCAGGCCGAGGCGGGTGGATCACGAGGTCAAGAGATCGAGACCATCCTGGTCAACATGGTGAAAACCCCATCTCTACTAAAAATACAAAAATTAGCTGGGCATGGTGGCACACACCTGTAATCCCAGCTACTTGGGAGGCTGAGGCAGGAGAATTGCCTGAACCCAGGAGGCAGAGGTTGTCGTGAGCCGAGATCACGCCATTGCACTCCAGCCTGGGTAACAAGAGCGAAACTCCATCTAAAAAAAAAAAAAAAAAAAAGATCCAGGCTCAGTGGCTCACACCTATAATCCCAGCACTTTGGGAGGCTGAGGCAGGCAGATCACAAGGTCAGGAGATCGAGACCAAGACCATCCTGGCTAACATGGTGAAACCCCGTCTCTACTAAAAATACAAAAAATTAGCTGGGCATGGTGGCATGCGCCTATAGTCCCAGCTACTCAGGAGGCTGAAGCTGGAGAACCGCTTGAACCTGGGAGGTGGAGGTTGCAGTGAGCCGAGAACATGCCACTGCACTCCAGCCTAGGTGACAGAGTGAGAGCAAGACTCCCTCTCCAAAAAAAAAAAAAAAAGTGAAACCAAACAGGGGGGTCTCTCTAGGACTTCCAGTTCCGCACAAGGGGTAGTTACCACTCTAGCCAACTCAGATACCTGCAAGGATGATCCCACCACCAAGAGGGAGTCAGCTTCTTTTACACGCTTGTGCACAAAATCAACCTTGTCAGGGTTCACTGTGTCTCCGAAGAAAACGACATCTGGTTTCAGACGGCCTCCACACTGAATGCAGGATGGGACCTGAAAGCTCCGGACTTGCTCCTCTGATAGAAAGACGTCACCATCGGGAGCCAGGCCATGGGCCTCCGCACTCCAGGTGGGGTTCAGGACTTGGAAGCGCTCCTGCAGCACCCCCCGGGGAGTCTGTTCCCCACAATCCAAGCACAGGACCCTGGAAGGAAGGAAGACGCCGACTGAACAGCCTGTCCTTGGGAGGCACACAGCTGCCAGAGACGTTTCATCCCAACCATTTCCAGCCCTTCCAGCACTGCTGCTTTCCCTCACACACAATCCCCACCCGGCTTTAGGCATACTTTCTCTTTTATTTTTTATTTTTGGAGACAGGGTCTGGCTGTTGCCCAGGCTGGAATGCAGTGGCATGATCTCAGCTCACTGCAGCCTCGACCTCCTCCTAGGCTCAAGTTATCCTCCCACCTCAGCCTCCTGAGTAGCTCAGACTACACCACAAACATGTGCCACCATGCCCAGCTAAGTTTTGTATTTTTGGTAGAGACGGTGTTTTACTATGTCACCCAGGCTGGTCTCAAACTCCTGGCCTCAAGTGATCCTCCCACTTTGGCCTCCTAAAATGCTGCGATTATAGGCATGAGCCACTATACCCAGCCCATCTGTTTCCTTCCTGTACACTCCTTCCTAACCTTCTGCTATAGCTCACTAATATCCTTAACATGACTGCAAACGTCTTGCCTGCTGATTTCCTTAGTGCCCAAACGTGCGTTTTTTCCCTCTATCCTTTCCCTTGTTGATCTGCTGCATTTGCCACTGTCTATTACCGTCCTCTCTAAATACTTCTCCTTCTTGGTTTCCAGGACACAGTGTCTCCTGGTTCCCTTCTCACTTCTCTAAATCATCAGAGCTTGAGCTTGAGCCGCTGATGGGGAGAAGTTTGTGTTTTGTTTTTTTTTTTAGTCAAAGTCTAGCTCTGTCACCTAGGCTGGAGTGCAGTGGCACAATCTCGGCTCACTGCAACCTCCACCTCCTGGGTTCAAGCTATTCTCCTGCCTTAGCCTCCCAAGTAGCTGGGATTAAAGGTGCATACCACCACGGCCAGCTAATTTTTGTATTTTCAGTAGAGGCGGAGTTTCACCATATTGGCCAGGCTTATCTCAAACTCCTGACCTTTTGATCTGCCTGCCTCAGCCTCCCAAAGTGCTGGGATTACAGGCGTGAGCCACCATGCCCAGCCAATGTTTTTGTTCTTGTTGTTGTTGCTTTTAAGAGACAGGGTCTTGGCCAGGTGTGGTGGCTCATACCTGGAGTGGGCATGATCATAGCTCACTGCAACCTTGAACTCCTAGGCTCAAGAGATCCTCCTGTGTTGGCCTCCTAAAGTGCTGGGACTATAGGTGTGAGCTACCACACCCAGCCTTATTTTTCTCCTTTTAGTTCTAGTCAGCCATCAGATTATGTTGATTTTCTTCTTTTAAAAGGCCCCCTGTGGCTAGGCGTGGTGGCTCACACCTTATAATCCCAGCACTTTGGGAGAGTGAAGTGAGAGAATTGCTTGAGCCCAGGAGGTCCAGACCAGTCTGGGCAGACAGCAATACCCTGTCTCAAAAAAAAAAAAAAGAAAAAAAACAAAACAAAACTTTTTTTTTTTTTTTTGGTAGAGACAGGGTTTTGCTCTGTCACCCATGCTGGCGTGCAATGGCACGATCTCGGCTGACTGCAACCTCTGCCTCCCAGGCTCAAGCAGTTCTCCTGCCTCAGCCACCAGAGCAGCTGGGATTACAGGCACCCACTACCATGCCCGACTAATTTTTATAGTTTTTGTAGAGATGGAGTTTTGCCATGTTGGTCATGCTGGTCTCGAACTGACCTCATGTACTGCCCACCTTGGCCACCCAAAAATGCTGGGACTTCAGGCATGAGCCACCACACCCAGCTAAAGTTTTTTTTTAACTAGCTGGATGTGGTAGCATGTGCCTAGAGTCCTAGCTGCTGCGGAGGCTGAGGCCAGAGGATTCCTTGAGCCCAGGAGTTCTAGGTTACAGGGAGCTATGATGGCACCATTGCATTCTAGACTGGGTGTCAGAGCCAGAACCTGTCTAAAAAAAAAAAAGGCCAGGCCACGCACAGTGGCTCATACCTGTAATCCCAGCACTGGGAGGCCAACGAGGCAGGCAGATCACCTGAAGTCAGGAGTTTGAGACCAATCTGACCAACACAGTGAAACCCCATCTCTACTAAAAATGCAAAAATGAGCCAGGCGTGATGGCGGGTACCTGTAATCCCAGATAGTCAGGAAGCTGAGGCAGTAGAGTTGCTTGAACCTGGGAAGTGGAGGTTGCAATAAGCCAGGATCATACCACTGCACTCCAGCCTGGGTGACAGAGTGAGACTCTGTCTCAAAAAAAAAAAAAAGGTTGGGCATGGTTTCTCATATCTGTAAGCCTAGCACTTTGGGAAGCCAAGGCTGGTGGATCACCTGAGTTTAGCAGTTCAAGACCAGCCTAGCCAACACGGCAAAACGCCGTTTCTACTAAAAATACAAAAATTAGCGAGGCGTGGTGGTGCACACCTGTAATCCCAGCTACTCAGGAGGTGAACTGCTTGAACCTGGGAGGTAGAATTTGCAGTGAGCTGAGATCTTGCCACTGCACTTCAGCCTGCATGATGGGAGGGAGACTCCATCTCAAGGAAAAAAAAAAAAAGCCCCTGTAAAATATCAAGAAGTCCTGGATTTGTTTTCAAATGCTTAAGAAGAGACAGGGAGAGCATGGATAAAGTAGACATGACAAAATCTTGATAAAACCTTGGAATCTGGGTGATGGTATATGAGAATTCACTATACTATTCTCTTTTGTAAACGTTTGAAATTTTCATTACTTAAAAAAAAGAGATTTTTATCATGAAAAAATTATTTTAATGAACCCATAAGCATCATTAACTCAAATTCCCTAGATACTCTAATCTAGGTTCTTCAGGCTGACCTCCCTGACGTGCTCTTTTCAATGCTGTCTAGCCATCCTCAAACGCTATTTTTATCATGTTGCTTTCTTGCTCCGAAACCACTAATAAACCCCTTTGGTGTCTCACAACAGACCCAACTGCACTGCCTGATTTTCAAATGCAATCATGATTTCGGTCTAACTTTCCCAGATACTCTGGTCTCTACAATTTCCAGGTCCAAACCTCTACAGAGGCCAGGCCAGAGTCTTCTTGGGTCTACTATTTCCCTTCATCTGGAAAGCCCTGTTTCCCTCTTTTGCCTAGAGAAATCTGAGCCAGTCTCAAGCCCCCTATGCCCATAAAAGCTTTCTTGGGTCTGGGTGCGGTGGCTCACGTCTGTAATCCCAGCACCTTGGGAGGCTGAGGTGGGCGGATCACCTGAGGTCGGGAATTCAAGACCAGCCTGACCAACCTGGAGAATAAACCCCACCTCTACTAAAAATACAAAATTAGCCCAGCGTGGTGGCACATGCCTATAATCCCAGCTACTTGGGAGGCTGAGGCAGGAGAATACCTTGT